GCGGGGTCTCTTTGTTCCACGTGGATGGAGGCGGGGATCTCTTTGTTGCTTGAATCTTCTTGTGCCACAATGTCTGGTCCTCCAGCTTCTGGGGACTCTCATATCTTACCTCTCACTGCAGGAACACTGCGACTTCAGATGTATGCCCCTACGCCTGCATTTACATGGATTCAGGGGATTTGAGCTCACGGACCTCATGCTCGAGCTGTAACTGTCTTACCCACAGAACCAGCTCCCCAGTCTAATGAAAACAATTAAAAAAACCCAATCCATTCATTCATTCTAAGTCTTGGTTCAAATGCTGCATCCTCCAAAAAGCCTTTACCCTGTCCCACCCAGTGTCCCACCAGACCTGGTACCTACCTGTCTCACTCACGTCAATCAGCAAAGACATTTTGAGGGTTTTGTTTTTGCTTTTATAGGAAAAAAACCTAAATACCCATTCATTTATCTGTTGTTTTGGCTTATGCGTGAACTGCCACCCCAAACTCTACACTCATGTGCTGAGGGTCTGGTCCCAGCTGGTATAGCCAGTCACTGACAGATGACTGCATTGTGAAGGTTCCAACTTAATCATAACTCAGTGGCATTCTTGTGAGGGAAGGAGGAGGCGGGGCCTATGTGGGGGGAATAGGGCCAAGTGCAGTGATATGCAACGTTAGTGTTCAGGCATCTGTGCTGGCCTGTCCTCGGGGTTCTGACGGGACACACCCTCAGCTGCGGACACTAAGAGCACCTCCTGTGCACATTCACTATGATCCCTTTGAAAAGGGCCCTGCCCACCTCCCATCCCTCTCTTTCTCTCCCTCTCTCTGTCCTCCTCCTCCTCCTCCTCCTCCTTCTCTTTCTCTCTCCCTCTCTCCCTCTCTCTCTCCCTCCCTCTTTTCTCTCTCCTGCTGCTCCTGTCTCAGGAGGCCGGTCTCCCCCCTCCCCTTTCCCCTTTAAAAAAACCCTCTGCTTGAACCCTGTTTCATGGCATGTTTCTCTCTAGCACTGCTCCTCTTAAATTACAGCACATACACCTTGTCCCTGTCCCCTTCTCTCTCTCTCTCTCTCTCTCTCTCTCTCTCTCTCTCTCTCTCTCTCTCTCTCTCTCTCTCTCTCTGTTTCCCAGGTGCAACAGTGTCAGTGGCTCTGCCCCAGCACACCATTCAGCTCCGATGTTGGCTTCACTGAAGGCCCAGACACTACACAGCCAGCCACATGGACTGCCATCCTCAAAACCTTGAGTCAAAGAAATCTTTCCCCCTTTTAAATTGTTTCCTTGGGTATTTGTCAAACTAGCGTTTTCATCCAATAGTATGATTGGAGTGTGTGCTGGGAGCCATGTTAAACACAGCAGCCAGGGGCCTGGAGAGATGGCTTGGTGCTTAGAAGTGCCTGCTGCTCCTGCAGAGGACCGCACTGTGCCAGGGCTCACAAGTTTCAGGGGACCCAAACCCTTCTCCTGGCCTCCAGTGGACACGAACACACACACATACACACATACACACTTACACACTTACACACATACACACTTATACACACACACTTACACAGTTACACACATACACACTTACACAATACACATACATACTTACACAACACACATACACAATACACACTTACACACAAACACACTTACACATACAAACACAAAAGCATATTTACACACATGCATACTTACACACATATTTACACAATACACACTTACACACATACACACTTATACACATACACACATACACACTTATACACACACACTTACACACATACACACTTATACACCTGCACACATACACACTTACACACACACTTACACGCTTATACACATACACACTTACACACACTTACACGCTTATACACATACACACTTACACATACACACAAACACACATACATACACCACACACATACACACTTACACATACACACAAACACACATACACACATGCTTACATACATACTTGCACACATACTCACTTACACACACTTACACACATACACACTTACACTCTTACACACAAACACACACATACACACATACACTCTTGCACACACATACACACATACACATAAACACACACACACACACAAAGAATAAACTATCTCTTCTTAAATGTGAGTGGGGGGTCAGTCTTCCTGAAGGGACCATAAATGAAGATTGGACTGCAGAGAGGGTGAGGAAGGAGGAGCAGGGACTCAGGGGAGGGGGGCTTTTAAAGTTTTCATTTTAATCCTTTAGATTTTTTATGTGTATAGGTACTTTGCCTGCTGTGTAGCTGTGCATGCAGTGCCTGCAGAAGCCAGAAGAGGGCGCCAGATCCCCTGGAGTTGGAGGTACAGATGGTTTCACCATGCCATGTGGGTGCTGGGAATTGAACCTGGATCTTTGAAGGGGCGGCCAGTGCTCTTGATTGTTGAGCCATCTCTCCAGCCCCAAGAGGGGAGGCTTCTGAGCTGCTGTGAGTAGAGATGCCGTTAAGAACAACAGCAGAGACTGCAGCCCAGCCCTGCAGGGGCTACCATCAGAGGCGCAGCTTTGATGTGACTGCCTTGGCCCTGCCCACCTCTGACCATGGCAAGTCACTGAAGATCTGCATTGAAAACAGAGAGGAAGTAACATGTGCCGTGTGAGGATAAGGTATGCAAACCAACACCTTCCACTGGACATGCCCTCCTGGGTCCCTCACCCGGAGAAGACCCCTTGTGGTTTGGGAAGGAAAAAAAACACTCTCCTGGGGGGGGGGCGCAGAGACGGGGAGATCAGGCGTAAAGGCCATCTTTGGCTACTTGGTAAGTACAAGGCCAGCCTGGTTACATGGGACTCTGACTCAAACACAAGACAACAGAACGTGTCCGCCGCTAAGGTCCTGTAGCAGTAGTACTCCTTCACTTGTAGTTTCATTTTTAACAGTTTTATTTTTCTCTCGTCAACTGGAATCTGGAAATATTAGATGAGAAAATTCCAGAAATACGTAATTCATAGTTTCAAAACATATGAATTCTTATGGTGACACTCTGTCCCAACTAGCATCTGTATTGTTGTGGGTCTTTTCTTTTCTAGTGTGTCCATGGAATCTATACTACCCTCTGTATCTGGCTTGGTTAGCACACCGAATATCAGTTAGCACACCGAGTATCAGTGGTGTTTGATGTAGGATTCACCACTGTTCTTGGTTTCAGGTGTCTGACAGAAACTCAGTGACTTTCTCTTTGTGGAAGTTGAAGAAACTGCCCAGGCAAGGACAAGAAAAGGCTGCCTGTAATTCTTGTTCATGATTCCTGTCATTTCAGTTTTGTTCTGGGACAGGGTAGGGAATCACAGTTTTAGATGGACTTGAACTACATTTCCAATTGTGTGTGTGTGTTATGTATGTGTGTTGTGGGGTGTGTGTGTGTGTGTGTGTGTGTGTGTGTGTGTGTGTAGAGGATTTGGAAGAAACGACTGGTTTAACTGGTGTAGAGATGGGCAGGGGTTAAGGATGTTGACAGGAGGGAGCTTTGCTGTCCTGGAAGGGGGAGCTATGCTTTCTTGAAAGGTAGAAAGAGACAGTATCAGAGGATTTCCTGGGGACAGCACTGTCCAGTTAGTGTTCCAGGAAAGCCTGAACTAAAGGGTATGAGGAGAACAGGATTTGGAATCAAGAAACCTGGGTTTTGCTTGGTTTGTGTCCTAGGTCTGGAAGACGCTGGGCAAGCCTCCTCACCGCTTCATGCTCTCATTTGTAGAGTGGAGACTCTTTAACCCTTGGGCTATTAGCGAGCTCCATGTCTACCTTCCAGTGAGACTAGCACAGACAGGCCCTGCTGAGCCGGACCTGGACCTGCTCCCTGATTTCAGCAGGTAGAGCGGCCATGTGACCCAACGTGACCAGTGACCACAGACTTGAGACTCAGAGAAAACCCAGGTTCCACAGGGAAAGGTCTCTAGCCAGCATAGAAGAGAGGGTGCATGCCATGCAGGGCCACTTGCAAGAGTGAGAAAGGGAGGGGACAAATACTAAAGACTGGGGACACCCTCTTGCTGACCCTGTTCACGACCTGCTGTGCAGGAGGCCAGCTGACCACCATTTCCTGCCCCAGATCCCTGGGACATCACCATTTCTGTCACACACACTCTCTCTCTCTCTCTCTCTCTCTCTCTCTCTCTCTCTCTCTCTCTCTCTCTCTCTCTGTGTGTGTGTGTGTGTGTGTCTGTGTTTTCATATGCATGCATCATATGGTGGTCTCTGACCTACACACATAAAACCCAGAAGTAGGCAGCCCTGGGGCTCCTTTTTGAAGTCATGTGACTTCAGGCTAGTTCCGCCCCCCCCCACACCTCCCCTCGAGAAAACATACAAAAACCGCCGGTTTCTTCTCCTACCAGAGAAAGACAGTGACCTGTTTGTTATCACAGGGTGAGTGGGCAAACTCAGTTTGCAGCCCTGAGCAAGGCTCGTGGCTAGCCAGTCGGGCTCTGTCCTGCGAGCTGCTCCCTTAACTAGGAGGAGTATTTGTGCAATTGGCCGGGGCAGGAGGTCTGCTGCTCCAAGGCAGCATGAAGAAGTCTCCCAGAAAACAACAACAAACCTCCCCTGAGTGTTTCTTCCCAGGAAATAGGGAAATTTGTCAAGAAACGAAACATCCAGAGTCCAGCACGTTTTTAAAACGTGAAAACCGTTTATAAAGAAAAGTATGGCTCTTTGGGGGAGGGTTTAGGAACATCTGGAAGGACTGGGGAAGGGTGGAAACGGTTCCTCGGTGGAGGTGATGCCAGAGTCGTCGACAATCAGATTCACGATCCCCAGGACAGTGTCATCTTTTCAGGAAGTCCAGGCTTGTAGAGGGGGCTCGAGACACTCTAGTTCCCCCCCAGGAAAGCCTCGGCTACAGACGCCCCCAAAACCTGGGAGCAGGGAACATACAGGTAGATGTTTTCCTGTGCCCTCAAGTGTGCACGATCCACAGGTATCAGGCCAGGAAGGCGGAGAGCATGCGCCTGGTGCGGGCTCCTCATCAGTGCTCCAGGGGCACATCCTGGAGGGCACAGAACATGAGCGCACTGGCTCCACGGGTCAAGCAGGAGGCGCTCTAGGTCTGTCTCCACCTCCTCGCTGGCCCTCAGTCTCCTCCTCCCGGCATTGGGTTCGCAGTCCCCGCACTTGAGAAAACAGATCTTGGTGGAAACCTAGGAGCTCGCTGCTCCCGGAGCCTCCCCCAGGCTTTGAGGACCTCCCGGTCTCTTCTCCCTCACGCTGCCACCCTCAGGCCGACTTGGAGGAAGTGATCTGCGGCCCGGGGCGGGGAGTCCGGTGCCGGGTGTGCGAGGGCGCTAGCGCCAACTGTCCCGACCGGCTGCGGAGATCCCTGGCGCGGTTCAGGGCGACTCGCCCGGGTGGAGCCCGGATCGGAGGGCTGGGGGCGCGGCGGCCACTCCGAGAGGTCGGGCGGCGAGCGTGACCTCACTGGGAGGGGCCAGCGCGCAGCCGGGGCTCGGAAGCCAGCGCTGAGAGCGCGGCGCAGAGCCGATCGCAGCAGCGCCGAGAGCGCACGCCGTGGCCGGGATGGAGCGCTACAAAGGTGAGGGCGCGGGGCGCACCTGCTTGCCGCGGGGAAAGAGGGCGGGGGGCTTGTCGCTCGGGCTCAGGTGACCAGAATCGCCTGTTTAAATCCAAAGGAACACAGCCCAAGACCGGGAGACCCAGGCGCCGCGGGTCCTAGGCGTAAAACGCGGCTCGCGTCCTTTGATCTTTCTGGGCGCCTGGGGTCTCTGCCTGGAGGTCAAGGTGAGGCTTCTCACCTGGTAGAGAACCAAGGGTGTGTCCGGAGTCATCCTGTAACACCCCCGCACAGTCGAGGGGCCCGAGTAAGGGTCTCAACAGTGAGGGCTGCTGGGCGGAGGCTGGGGGGCAGAAGGGAGAGTTGCAGCGTGTTTTCGGTGGGTGCTACCTTGCTGAGGGGCTTCTGGCAGATTCCTGGAATAGCCTTGTCGAGTGGAAAGAAAAGCTCCTGTTCTGTTCTTGGCTAGGTCCGCCTCTCCACCACTTGGTAACCGTGCCTCTCCGAACCCCTTGCGGACCCTGCACCCCCAAGCTGTGTGGGGTGTGGGTTGGGAGCCCTGTGGGCTGCCCAGCAGGTGGAGCGCCTGTAGGCGTCCTGGCAGCTGAGCGAGCTTGGATTTGGCTCTGGCCAGGGATCTTGGCCAAACCCTGGTGGGCGGGCCGGCCCGGATATGCCCGAAGGGTTTTGGAGACCCGGGGCTGGAGTCCAGAAGCCTTGGATAGTAGGTCCTTTGAAAAGGGGGTTCAAGGTGCTGCCCCTGGAGCGGATATTTCGGCGCGCCCCCACATGCCTTCCTCTGGGAAAACCCTCTTGCGCTGACTTTTTTTCATGGGTTGTTGAGGCTAAACCTGGGAGAGGAAATTCGGCTTCTATATTTGTTTTCCCGAGGGAGGGTAATAAGGCGAACGCTCAGATTCCCAAGGAATCTCGGCCTGAACAAGTAACGTGTTTGTGTTTTGACTTTCCTTTTGCGTTTTCTCATCATGATTATTAGTGACGAGTGATGTAACCGCCGAGACTCACCTGTCGGCACTGAGGTGGGGGAGGGGCGCCAGGGGAAATCACTGTTCCTTGACCTCTCCCTGGAGCCTCTCTGCCCTGTCTAACCGGGTGGTCTTGTCTGAGTTCTGATGGAATCTGGTCAGTTTTGTTCGGGAAAGGCTGAAATTGCCCCTCATTCAGTCCCAAACACTGGTGGCCACAGCCCCTCTCCTGGTGCAATGTCAAAGTGCTGCTCCCGCCTCCACCCTGGGTCTCCGCCCTTTGTGTGTGTGTGTGGGGGGGGGCGGCGGCAGATTGAGGTCTCTAGTGCCTTTTCACTGGAAATGCTGACTTCCAAGGTCCCTTCAGATTGTGAAGCTGAAGCAGATGTTGACCCCAAATGAAGGATCCAAGTTGCAAGCTACTTTGCCCAAGCAGCTAACTGATTCAAGTTAGTTAACAGGCAACGGGTGGGCGGCTGTTGGGCCTGGGTTCATCCGCAGGTTTTTCTGTAGTTTCTGAATTGGCCCTTTGACAGGATAAAACCAGCTTAGTTTATCTTTCTCTCCTGGGAGCTGAAACTCATCCTCCACCAGGCTTAGTGAGGGGCTTCCAGCTAACTGAAGGGAACTTGGTTTCAGGCCAGCGTTCGTGTTTGGGAAACTATGAATGCACAAGTCCATAGACTTGAGGATTACCTGGGTTGCAGAAGAGAATCCAGCTACCCCTCTTCAGTTCGACTCTGGGGAGAAATGACTTCAGATCTCACTGATGTCGTGCTACTGATGTCTGCTCATTTTTTCTGGGAAGACCGTGGGGAATCTCTTTTCCTCCGGGAGTGTTACATTCTCTGTCCTCAGGAGAGGCAGATGAGTCGAGCTTTGGGAACTCGGGGAAAAATGAATGCTACGCTCCATGGCTGGTAAACCAGGACCCTGGCCAAGACCAGGTTACTCCTGCTTCTCAGACACTGGGTCCTTTACATATTTTTGGTAAGGTTTTGGGATGCAGTCCAGTGTTAGAGCGCCTGCCTGGCATGTGCAAGACCCTGGGTTTGAGCCCCAGCACACACGCACCATATTTTTAGGGTAAGACTGAATAGTTAGCACGGAACAAATAGGTGTAGTGGTTTGGATGATAAAGCTAAACAGAAAAACAAGATTCATCTGGGCTCTTGGAACTTACGTGAAATTGATCAAAGAGTTCTGATGGTATCAGACATTTTTGTAAAATTTAAATGCTTTCATATTTCAAAGTTTCCAATTTTGAGCTCTCTTTCCCATGTGGGCTGAACTGCTGGTTATCGTCTTCAGAGTCCAAAGGTGTCTCCTCTAACTCGAAATGATTACTTAGAAAGCTGTTGTCGTAGGAGGAAAATGTTTTCCATGTCCACAGCCTCTCTGTTATCCATTGTACCTCCTCCCCTAAGTAGCTTGGGCTAACCTTCCATTGTCTTGACGGAGATTACGGATGGCTGAAACATCACTCTGTGTCTAATACAAAAACAAAACAAAACAAACAAGCAAAAACCAACTTCCAGACTTTTCTCCCAGCTCTTTCCAACCCCCTCAGCTAGGTTACCATGGCTTTCTCAAGCAAAGGCGGGGCCGTGTGGGAGTGTGTAAGGGTCCCTTCCCAGAGGAATGGAGGTTTTCGGTAAATTGCTGTAAAGTGTTGGAAAAGTCACTGTACCCTGCGTGTGAATCTCTTTGGCACGGGATAAGCAGTGAGAACCCTACAAGTGTCCAAGATTCGGTGCCAAGGCCTACAGGGTGCCTTGAAAAGGCTCCCATCCTTGAGTGTTTATATATTTATGACTCTCCTAAGAGCATCCTGTATCACTGTTCGTGAGCCCATTGGCTGACCTCACCCCATGCAGTCAAGGATCCTGGTCCCTACGGCTCTCCCAGCTGGTGTGTGGCTCCAGGGCCAAATGTGACCGACCTCCTCCTATCTGTGGGTCACACTTGGAACATCATGCCTCGGCTTCCTGACGTTTCATCACACTTGGATCCTAACTGGCCTGGCTGAGATGTACAGACCTCATTTCAGAAGGGTGTGATCCCATCTGAAATGGTTGGGGGGCAGACCTTCCTTCCCCTGTCGCCTTTGGTTTTGCAGTCTGATCGCTGCTTCCTCGGGTGACTCTGTGGCACAGGAGGGCGAAGGGAGCGGTGAAACCTGGTCCAGAAAACAACATGTTCAGTGCTTGCTGGGGATCTTGAGAGCTGTGGGCAGGGAGGGTCTGAAAAGGAAAAAAAATTAAGGGAAATAAAGCAGATGGATAACTTATAGTTTCCCTTCAGGGATGGTCTTTTATCAATGCCCAAGAGCTCGGCTTTTTTCTTTGTTGATGTTTGCCCTAGAAGCAGTGGTTCTTAACTTTAGCTGTACATGGAACCAAGTGTGTGTGGGGCCTGGGGTGGCAGGGATGTAAGGGCCCCACCAGACATTGGGATTTCAACATCTAGAGTGTAGGTTAGGCACTGAAGCTTTCAAAGGTCTTCAGGCGACCCTAATGTGATCCGAAGTTGAGAATCATATTTGCTTAAAAAGGAAAAGAAGCGTCAGAGCAGAAAGACAGAGGAGTAGGTTGGGGAGATGATTGCCATGCAAGCATGAGGGCCTGAGCTCATGACCCTGGCACCCACGTAACAAGCCAGATAGGGGTGTGTGTGCTGGCTAGCCAGTGTAGCCGAGACGGCAGACTCTAAGTCCTCAGGAGACTAATTTCTAACTTCTAAAAAGGTAAGGTGGAGAGCAATTAAGGAAGATTATCTGACAGCCTTTGGCCTACACACATGTGCATACACACACAAGCGCACACACATGAGCACCCACACATGCACAAGCACACACACACACAGGAGCATGCACACACACATATAAGCACACACATACACACAAGCGTGTGCACATGCATGAGCACAGACACGAGCGCACACAGGCATGCATACACACACGAAAACACATGCACACATACATACACACAAGTGTGCACACAGAAAGCACACACATACACACAAGTGTGTGCACGTGCATGAGCACAGACACAAGTGCACACACACATCCACACGCACACACACACACTCTCACACACACACACACACACACATCCGTTTGCTCCGCAGAAGGACTGCTTTTAGGCACACTGAGATCTGCTGATGCTCAGGTCCCTGAAGAGCTGCAGGACTCGCACGTGAGACCCAATATCCTCTGGGCTGCTTTACTCCACCTCAAGATGACAGTGCATGCAGTTGCTGTATTGCAGTGTTGAGGGAATGATGGCAAAGGAGTCAGCACACGTTTAATACGGTCGCAGCTGTTGCGGGCTGAAGTGCACAGAACACACCCACCCCATGTGGCGGGTCGTGGGTTGGCTCGCTCTGAGGCCGCAGAACCTATGGCTATGGAGGGACAGCTAGAATTCAGCACACAGTGTGGAGAGAGGTAGTGCGTATGCCCCCTTGTCATTTCAGGGAATCTTCTGGCACCTGCAGGAGATAGCCTGTGATTTGCCTTCAGCTAGCATAGGCAAGCTCTGAGTGGAGGTGCGTGAACGCTGTTTAAGACGATGTCTGTGCTTTGCAGGCAGGCCTGAGCTCCCTGGTTTGCTCATTGTGCTTGACCCTGGGCACGCCTGACTTTGAAGCCCTTTGTGTGGGAGCCTGGCAGAGAAACGGTCTAAAACAGAAAGTGGGAGAGGTCGTGCTGGCGCTGAAGAGCCAGGAGCCAGGAATTCGGCTGTGGGCCCTTCCCCTCTCCTGAATGGGGTAGAAGCCCTGGGAACTGGGCTGCTTCCAGGATGGGCCAGGGAACTTCAAAGCCGAGAGGGCTGTGCCTGTTCTCCTCCAAACCCCTTTAATGACGGGAAATGCTCCTGGGAAGGCATCTGTCCTTCAGGGGAGGGGAGACTCCTCCCCAAGCCAGGGAGAAGGACACTGTTGCTGCCACCAGAGGGGCAGGCATGATGGGAGAGTGGGGGACCCAGAGAACCAGTGACCTACATGCTGTGCTTCCCTGAGCCAGCCACCGACCCTTCCGGGCCTCAGTTTCCCCATCTAGAAAGCAGCTGTCATGTGTTTCTTATGTGGCATTTCGATCATTGGTAAAGGCTCCTCTGTGGTCACCGAGGACTCTTCAGCGGGAGAATGTGCTTGGGAAGGGGGGGGGAGGGGATGGGGCTGCCAGCAAAGGTCAGTTTAGGATTGTGATTCTTATAAATAAAACTGATTTCCTGTTGAGAGACGGGGAGTTGCAGACTTAGTGGGAAAGAGAATGCTACCAAGCATGGGAGGAATTCGTTTTTTGAAGGACTTGAATGTCACTGTGGCTCCAAAGATAGTTAAGGCCATTGCTGGGGTTTAAAGGAGATGAGTCAGGCCCGTTTGAGAAGCAGGGCTATACTGAGTCCGCAGAGGGGGAAGCAACAGTTCACAGGGTCAGTGACAGGCTATGAAGAGTTGAGTTTGTAGAAGGAGAATTCCTGCTGAAGAATGTATCTAGGGAAGAAAAAGTTCTGGAAGCAATGTCATAACCCTGTCAGTGTTTTTATGCCAGGAAGGGGTTAGCTGATGAGTTAAGCCACACCACTCCCCTCCCCCATCTTTAGGACCTGGCCATGTTTGTCCCCCACAAAACCATCACAGCCTCCATAACACGTGGGAGACACGCAACAGAATGTCCTGGATTGGCGCTACTTAGTCTTGTATGCAGATCTGTTTTCCCTGCTAGGCTAAACTCTTGTCAAGATGGGAGCTTTCTCTGCGCCTTCCAATGGGCGGCTACATGAGTGTCAGGTACAGAACCCGTGTTGCCTGTGCCTGGCTCCTCGAGAGCAGACCTGGCTCAGAAAAAGAAATGAAGCGACATCTTTGAGCCGGATTCCGGAAGGGAGGAAGGAAGTTCCTGCGCCGTCCTCGGCAGCCACTTGAGTCCTTTCTCTGTCTGTTCCAGCACAGGGGTGTTGCTGCCTGGTGGTACAGAGAGGGATCCTGCAGGTCTCTGCTTGTGAGTATGAGCCTGTCTGTGCCCTCTGCAGCAGCTCAGCCGGCCTCCAGGCTCCCGTGGGTGTAGACCTGGCTCAGCTCATGCTGTGGATGCCGGGTTAGGGGGACACCGTGGAGCCAGGCTCTGGCCCAGGCACACAGGGGCTGGAGCTTCTAATCTGCCTTTTGCCACTAACACACTGTGCGACCTTGGGCAAGTCAACTAATCTTTCTGGGCCTTGTTTCTGTGTGAGTAAAACTACTGATCACTAACCCACTCCCAGGCAGCCTGGTGGGATAACCCAAGAACCATTGGCGGATACATTGCCGAGGGCGGTGTTGTGTTCGGTCAGGGGAACAGATAGCGGTGTCTGTGGCACTTCTGTGACGTGGTCCTGCCCTTGAGGTGTGTGTGGGTCCTCGGTTAGTTTAGGCTCTAGCTGTGTGTGCCCTTTTTTAAAGTTTGGGTGGAATGTATAGTTCAGAGCACTCAGGCAAAGCATCCTTGCTTCCCTAAGGCACCATCTGCATCCTTTCCCGGCGGGCTAGCTGGAGTGGTAGACAGGACTTGCTGGCCCCTCAGCCTGTATCCCCATCCTGCCTGATTTTCCCTGACACCTCGGTGAGTTCGTGTCGGGGCAGGCCCGTGAGTTCCAACAGGAGCTTCAAGCTCTTTGCTAATTAATGTTCTGCCAGCTGATTCTCATTTTCCCTCTACTTAATCTCCAAATAAACTGAGCTCAAACCCAGCCATGTGAAGGGCACGGAGAATAATGCACAGACGTGTGGGCAGAGCCAGCATAGCTCTGGGCTGGGGTGGACAGAGTGAGGCAGGGCTCAGATAGGCTTCCTAGGAACTCCAGGCCAGCTGTGGGCCGGGTGTAGGGACTGGTGCTCCCATGGAATGTCAGGGTTAGGAGACTTCTTAAACCAAGGAAACAGAGCCAGCCGCTAGCTGGAGAGACTCAACTGTGCCCGAAAGAATCCCATGGAGCCATGGGGCAATCTACCCTTGCTTTCCCAACTCAAGTGGTGAGCCATTCTGGCTTGCCTGGGATTTCCTGGTCTTGTCTCCTAGAACCCCAGCTCCCAGGAAACTCTGTAGCCCTGGGAAAACTTAAGGTGGGGGGCCTCATCCTGTTCCCGAACCTCAGCTGTTGAATCTGTGTGAGTCTTCACAGCAAGGGTAAGCCACAGCCCAGTGTTTCATCTCTCTGTTATTGGAGAAATTGAAAGCCTGGGCTAGAGAAATGGCTCAGTAGTTAAGAGCACTGACTGTTCTTCCAGAGAGCCTGGGTTCAATCAGCACCCACAGGGAGCTCACTCCTGTTCCAGGGGACCCTGATGCCCTCATACAGACATACCTGCAGGCAAAACACCAATGTACATAAAATAAATTAGTAAAAGAAAAAGTAAGAACCTGAAATTAAAAGAAGCTGTAACCGTCCTCTGTTGTTTGTAGGACGCTGAGTGAAAGGAGGCAGACTCTGGAGTCTACACTGTCCAGTTTGCTTACACGGCCTTCAAGAAAAGGCCAAACCACCTACAGAGAAAGGGAATCAGTTCTGTGGGTACCAGGGATGCACTGGAGGGTAGGGTGGACATAGCACAGTCGGTATCACGAATGATAGAAATGTCCAACCTCCTGATTGTGGTTGGACAGCTTTGTGTCCTGTCCAGTTTAACAGGGCAGGTTTGTTTTACTCTGCGTATAAACTGGTAAAAACCACCTTTTAAAAACACTTTGCAGGCCCCGGGGATGTCCTCACACTTGGCCCGCTGTCCATCTTGACAGGGTACCCCTCCATAATGTTTGCTATCACCTGGCCATACAAATCGAGTTGCTGCTTTTGTGAACAAAATCACACCTGTGCCCCCCTTGCAGACCGTGGCCCCTTTGGGTGAGATGGAGGATGTGCGGGACACCTTGCGTCATCACAGGTATTCGCTGATGGTCTTGATGGTGCTGCTGGTGGTAGAGCAGAATTCTGGTCTAATGCACAAACACTGGGTTTTGACGGCATCCTAGGAAGTGGAGACCTTCTAGAAAAACATCTAAGTGACGGAAACTCATTAGAAAAGTCAGTTCTCCTAAGTGTCAGACAGCAAGTGAGCCCAGGAGGACTCTGGGTAAGGAAGCCATGGACGTCACCCTGGGTGCTGTGCTACCAGCATCCTGCGGCTCTATGATGGTGGCTGTGGCAATATCTCTGTAACCCTCCTCTCTGAGAAGGCCAGCGCACTGGAATGGAGTGGCCAGGCTGCACCGGAGTCCATTCTTGTTGACTACCCGGCATTGGCAGTTCTACTAGCAAGTGTTATCCAGGGTTTGTGTGTGTGTGTGTGTGTGTGTGTGTGTGAGAGAGAGAGAGAGAGAGACAGAGACAGAGACAGAGACAGAGAGACAGAGAGAGAAGCCGTGGTAGAGCAAAATCAAGCACATTGAGCTGGTGTGTTCTTTGGGTGAATTTCATTGGTCCTGTGCCCTGGCTGGCTGGGGCTGGTCTTTGCATCCTTTATTAAGAATGATGTGTTGGATATCCATGGGACGTCTGTCTACAAGGGTCATGTGGAAAGGTCACATTGGAATGTGAATTACGTTGGAGACTTTTACACAGACATCTCTTCTTAGACACTGACACGTTCAAGCCACTAGTCAACCTCCAAAGCCAACGCCGATCCGCCTCCTGGGCATCCCAGTCTCCTGGGCATCCCAGCAGAACCAGAGGCAATAGCTGCTCTTGTTGACGGTGTGGGGGTTGCAGTGACAGAGCAACACATTTTTGAGCCCATTCCTGGTGAGGCAACCCTTGAGACGGGATGAGGCATCCCTTGAGGCGGGGTGAGGCCTGGCTGTGGCCGGTTCCCCTGAGAAAGACTAAGTCTGGGGGAGCCCTGGAGTCTGCTTCTGGTTTGAGTACAAAACCTGGAAGGCTAGATTACATAAAGGGGCATCTGGGGGTACATGGGTAAGGGGGCTCAGTTACTGCCACACCTGTCTGCAGGTGAGGACCACCCGCTCAGAGTTAGCCCTTCACACTGACATCCTTTGGGTTTGGGGAGCCGTCAGCCATCCTGCGAGATTAGCAAGTTGGACCCTCACCATTTCCTCCCATCTTCCAACCTCTTTTTGCCGCCGTACCCCCCCCAGTTCTTATACAACAGGATTTATTCATGTTAACTGTATTCAAGTCCCAGATGGGGGCAGAAAAAAGAGATTGTGTTGAATGAACTTATTGTCTGAAGGTTTCACTGGCCTCTTTTATTTAATACCCACAGTCCGAAAACATATTGAGCTGATTTACTGAGTTTCAAATGTGGCCTTTTGGAAGGGGACTCTGCTAGGGCGCTTGGTGTCCCTGGCTGCGGGGCCAGAAACTGTTGGGTGGCAAGCCTGCCTGGGGGCATCTCAACTTCATCTTTATTGGCTCTCCCATGGCAAATATTCTGTCATAATCCCAGACTCTATGTACCAGAGACGGCCCCACCCTGCCTGCCGCTCTTTGCATTACGAAGACTTTTGTGGCATCCCCAACTGGCATGCTTTTGGATATCTAGAGACAATGTAGTTTATAGTGCCACCTGCAGATAGAGGCAATGTGGCTTATAATATCTTCTGCTTGGCTGGTCAGTATTCACTGTCAACTGGCCGGCGGCTGTGTCTGTGTCTTTGTTGACGGTTGACGTGCGAGGGCGGAGCCAATGGTGAGTGGCACCATCCCTAGGCCGGTGAGCCTGGGCTGTGTGAGAAATGTTGCTGAGGATGGAAGGTGACAGAGTCAGTAAATAGTGCTCCTCCAAGGTTCCTGCCCTGACTTGCCTCAGTGATGAGCTATGACCCGGAAACGCAAAGGTGAAACAAACCCTTCCCTTTCCAAGTCGTGTTCTGATCAGAGTGTCTCATGGTAGCAGGAGAAAGTACCTGACGCAGCTGTATTTTGCATAAGTTGGGAGGAATTCGGGAGATGGAGTGGGAGGTGCCTGAGAGGAGCACTAAGCATCAGACAGCCTCCTGCCTTCTGCTTGGATGCCCGATGCAGGGCCTCTGGGCCTTCAGACACACCAAGGTGGCCATTAGCATCTTCACCCTGTGTCCTGACACACTGGCCTCTTCGTAGCTGGTGACCTCGGGCTCCGAAAGTTCTGATCCACTGGCCTGACGTGAGTGTACACGGGACTGCCCAAAAAGCTTATTATTCGGCACCTTGACCTTGATGTGTTTTAGGAATTAGGACCCCTGCCACGGTCGGCATTGGACTTGTGGCTGAAGGCCGTGGTGTGTAAGGCAGTCAAATGCAGTTGCAGCACAGACCCGTGACAGCTCCGGGTTTCTAGAGCTCTTGGTGGCCTTCTGGGGGAGCCACTACACGCACTTCAGCTCACTTCAGTAAGTGAGCGTCTCTCTGGAGCCCGCGGAAATCTGTCTGTGGTTCACACCACCTCCACTCTACATGTCTGGAGCCCCGGCATTGGGAATGCTGGAAGGACACATCCTAACACAGCGCGTGCAAGTGCGGCTGTAGGCTGCTCCGAGGGCTCTGTTAGGGGAATATAAGCCCGTGCCTTCACTGGCAGCTCGCCCCCTTTCCCTTTCCTCCCTCTCAGCTTGCATCTTCTCATTCATCCCTCTCTGTGGTCTCCCATGTCTGTTCTCTCTTCTTCCTTCAAAAAATTTTATTTATTATTTGAGAGAGAGACAGAGAGACAGAGAGAGAGACAGAGTCAGAGAGAGACAGAGTCAGAGACAGAAACAGGGAGACAGACATACAGGAGGGACGGGTGCATGCACGCCGTGATGCATATGCGCATTGGAGGACAACTTTGTGGACTCAGGTCTCTCCTTCCACCCCCGTGTGTGTGTGTGTGTGTGTGTGTGTGTGTGTGTGTGTGTGTGTGTGTGTGTGTGTGTGTGTGTGTTTCAGAGTTGGAGCATGAGCTCAGAGAGGGCATCACCTCCCCCCCCCCCAGCCGCCGGGCTTACCTCAGCGTTCCCTCGTGGGGAATGGAGGGAATGAATCTCCTGATTTCTCTATCCATCGGGAGTATTCTGCTTCCTTCCCTGAAAACCCATCTAGCTTACCGCAGGCTGGTGTGTGTCATAACTAGAAGTGTCCTCTCCCTGTCCCTGTCCCTCCCTGCCTTTAGTAGCAGTGTGACCTGCAGGCCATAGGGGAGGGGGGATTGCAGTCTCAAGCCTGTGTAGAGCCCCCCCCACCATCCCAGAGGAGGGAGCGGGCATGAGAACTCTGCATTGTTTTGGATAGAAGTTCCAAACATGAAGGCGCAGCACAGGCTAAAATAATTTTTCTCATCGACCTCCTGACTTCCCAGTGGGCAAGCGCCCATCGCTATCACGTGATGCTGGTTTGGTGTGTGTAGCTGCTGGAAACGCTTCTGACCCGGATCGGATCCCTGAGAGTTATGGGATCCAGGTGTTGCCTGACTGCTGCCTCACTGCTTCCCTGAGAGAGGGGAGGCTTCTGTGTTCTCAGAGAGAGAGGAAGAATCTCAGCTTCTGCCTTTGTGAGGTGGAACCCTCCAGAGGCACCTCCTCTCTCCCTGCAATGCGTGTCCTTACTCGCCGCTTTGCCTGACACATGGAGGAGATATAATGCTAGGTCCTGAGCCTGTGTGGGCTTTGCTCTGTTATCAGCAAGGTTGTGCAATGCTTGTTCTCGAAGTATGGAGGGAGGCGAAAGAGGAAATCAGAAGCCCACTTTCTCTGCTGGAGCCCACGGGAATGCCTAACCAGAGCAAGGGGTGGGTCAGTCCCCTTCACCCTGACGTGGACTTTGGTGTTATATAAGTGTGGTCATTTTTTTTTTTTTTTTTTTGGTTTTTACGAGACAGGGTTTCTCTGTTTTGGAGGCTGTCGGTCCAGCCTGGCCTCGAACTCACAGAGATCCACCTGCCTCTGCCTCCCGAGTGCTGGGATTAAAGGCATGCGCCACCAACACCCGGCTCATAAATGTGGTCATTTTGTCCCACATAGGAAACCACAAGGATGTAGATGGCCTTGTATAGAGTTGATGACTTTCTTGTCCTTAGCAATAGGGACTGGGAGTCATCTTATTGTGAAATGATGGGGAGTTGTATAGGGAATAGCTTTGGTAGGGTGGAGAGATGTGGGGAGTCTGCCTTGGAGAGGTCCAGCTGCTTTCTTCTCTGTTTGCAGATCTGAGCATTTACAGATCTCAGGTACGGCGTGCTTGTGTGTGTGGGGGACTGACGGCAGCCCTGATTCCTTGATGTCTTTCCATCTCATACTCTTTTTCCTGGGGAAGGGAAGGCTGAAGTGGCTTGAAGGTGAGGGGAAGAGGATGCTGGGAGGCCTGGCTCTGACAGCTTGGCGGGACATGAGTTCTGCCTCTTGCGTGTCTTCATGACTGGCTGCTGGGTGCCTGTGTGTCTTTCTTCCCTGGTTGGAAAAAAAAAAGCAGAAGCAGTCAACAGCTTAGAGAAAAATTCTCCACAAATGGCTTTATAAGAAATTGCCATTATAGAGTATGAAAATGGTTACGATGGAAGAGGGGACAGGTGGCTGGCAAGGGTAAGATTCCAGGTGTCACTAATGACTTTACTCCATACGTTTCCAGCACAGGTACACTTGGCGGTGGGGAATTTTGTGACCGAGAACTGAAGCATGAAGGGAATGCGTAGTTTCTTTCAGGGCGGTGGAGACTGTTCAGTGAATGTCTCTTACCCCCGGATACTGTTAACTTTGATGCACAGGAATCCTTGTCTTCCAGTATTTTCTGTCTGTTGGTTTCTCAGACACTGGAACACATTGTTACCATAACTAAGGCAAGCCCAGATTTCTTCAGGCCCCTGACCAGGAGGCCTTCTTCCTTGGATATGAAGAGTGCCTGCAGTATGTTTCCAATGGAAAGCAAGGAGAGATATGGCGGCCCCTGTACTGTACTAACGACATACTAGGTCTCTTTGATACACGACCCACTTCCTGTAGCCCAGCTTCTGCGATCCTACTCCACTCTGTGCTAGAGGCATACTAGACTCCTTGTACACATCCATCCACAGGGGACTCTTGCAAGTGCTTGACCGTAGGGCTAAATGACCTCCCCTCAGGACTGCCTGGCAAGCTTATTTGTCAATGTTTACCGAGTCTGGATGTCTTGACCATCACTCTTCCCAACACACATGTGTGCATACACGGCTTTTAGCCCTCATCGGTATACCTTGCATAGTTCTCAATGGCCATAGCCATTGTGTTGATGCTATAATTAATGGACTATATGTATAATATACATATACATATATATAAATACATATATATACATATATAATACATATATATTTATGTATATGTAATCATTGAGGATTAAAAGCATTATTCTTTGTGTCTACAGCACCTAAGTCTGGGTGTGATGTATTTTGAGTGCTCACAAAGTAGAAATTGGTTGCCTGAGAAACTTTTGATGTTCTAGGTTTCTTCAATTGTTGTCCTAGGTTTCCTTCAAGTTTTCAAAGTTAAGGTATCCATTACCCTGTGGTTAGTAGGCAGCTAGCAGAAGTGTGTGTGTGGGGGGGGATCATAGTTATACCATCTAAAATTTTCAAGGGATTCACATTTCAGATTTACAAGGAGTTCCTGCAAGTCAACCAATACTAAGCAGAATTCTCAAAAAGAGACAAAGGGTATTAATAGGAGTTTACAGGTAAAGAGGCCACCAGAAACCTAAAGAAACCAGGAATCTAGAAAGATGCTCTAGCTCCCATAGTCATCGTTGACAGCCCAACTGACTGCCCAGGAGTCTAGCAGACATGCACAATGCCAGGTACTCATCGGGAATGTCACCCCTCCAGCCTAAGGACTGATCGAGGAAGCACGGGACCATGTTGTATGACAGAGCTCTCCGGTGTGTCTTAGCTGCACCGAATACAATACCCGTTTACCAGGTGACCTGGAAATTACCAAAAGGATAAGTTCCCGGGGGCAGAATTGAGAGCGAACTGTGCATGTGCCCTTCCTTGTTGTGGTCAGGAGCCGGAAAGAGCCTCCTTGTCTCTGGGGTGATCTTTGGAACTGGGTGCTGATTCAGGGCACAGGCCTTTACCGTAGCATTTCCATCTATATTGTGTTCTACCTGTGCGACCAGAGCCCACGTGTAATTCTAACCCAAAGCAGAGTGAGGCTGAAGAGGGTCATATGAGACCCCGAAGCAGCCAGCTGAGACATAAGAGGGGGAAGGGCTCCTCTGCCCTGAGCCTGCCCCGTGAATTGCTGGCCTGCCCAAGGCCCCTTTCCCGGGAGGCTATGGTTAAGAGACCATCCTTATGCTAAACCCTAAAGCTCACACAGAGCTGTCAGAGCTGTAGTGGGGGCTGGGGTGTGGGGTAGCCACCCATGTCATCACAGAGGGGAGAGGTGGGGACGGGAGGGTAGCCATCCGGTATGGTCCCAGAGGGAGGGCAGTCCTGACCATTTTCTCTCGCACCTGGCACGGTCAGGCTGGCCTTTGATAGTTTTGTGTCTTCCATTTCCTTCCCACCAGCCATGACGAGTGTCTTGCTTCTTGGCCGTCTTTGGGTCTGTGTTGTTAAGTACAGGTCATGGCTGATAGCCAGCATCCAAATGTTCGTCCTGTTGAATAGAAAGCTGTAGATGTTGGCGTTTCCGGTACCTGACTGCCTGGATGTAAGGTCGCTAGACTGTAATCCAGGGCCCGTTCTGCTCCCTCCCACCTGGCATGTGTGAAATAGTCATATACAATCAATATATTTAGAAGCTCCTATTCTGGGTCTGTCTGACTTGGGCAAAGTTGACTGAAAGGTTCAGGCGTCACGCTGGCCTGGCCCTGTGGCCTGGCAGAATGCACTCAGGCAGCACTCTGGCCAGCCCAGGGTTCCATGAAAGCTAGTCTGCACGCAGCTGCAAGGGACCCCTTTAAAAGACAGACACCTCCCCGCCCACTTAGGCTTTCTCTCTCTCTCTCTCTCTCTCTCTCTCTCCTTACCCTCTTCGTCTGCCTCGTGTCTCTCTCTCCCCCTCTCGCTCTCCCTCTCCACCAGTAATAAACTCTATGGTTAATGGATCTCTCGAATCTCCTGTTCCGTCTATCTCGCGCCTTCTGATGTTAATCTTAAACAAAAGAACAACACTGACCACTGATATTTTATGTCCCATGATCTCTATTCCCACTTGAGTTCAAAGTTTTCCTGTTTTGTTTTCTTCTTAACCTCTTTTGTGTCTCAAAGGTATACGTGGCGAAGAGCCATTTGGACCAGGATACGAGGTGCCCCATTTACTGCATGCAGTGCTGGGCTCTCCCTGGGTGCAGGAGACAGAGCCTGGGGCTGTTTAGCATGGGCAAGGAAAAAGCTCACTCTCTTGGGTATGGGCCGTGGACAGCGAAATTGAGTGTCTCAAGTCAAGGACTAAAGCTCAGTGTTTTCAGGAAATGGGAGCTGCCGCGAGGTCAGCTCTGGTGGTCTGTTTCCCACTGCTGGTTCTCCAGATGAGTTATGCACAGCATTCTCTTCTAGCTGCCCTGCCATTGACCTGGCTGACAGTTTTCCCTTTCTGCCCTACGTCTCTGGACCTGGATACCAGACTCATGACTCCAGTTTCCGAGTCTTCAAGCAATGTGACGTTAAAGATCTTTGACCTGTTTTTCCTTAAGCCCTTCAATCCTGTTTTTTTTTTCAAGTTCGCAGGTATGCCCCTCAAGGCCATGTCAGCCCTTTCTGGGTCAAAGGATTTGTGATGTCATCATGACATTACCTTACAATATTTCCAAGTGTTCACACAATGGGCACTTTGAGGCCTTGCTATGTAAAGCCTTGCTTGGGTCCTGAGGTAGCCAGGCCTGATGTTGGTGGAGACTTGAGTCCTGATTTATTATTCTCATGCAGGACAGTGGATTGCAGTTCTACAAGAGAGGTTCAGAGGGAAACATAAGGAGTGCGGAAGAAAGCCCAATGATGGGAGAGAAATTGCATATTGAGAAAGATTAACCTACACAGGTTTGGGATGTCATATACTTTATTAGGGAGGAATCACTTACATGAAAAGCCAAGAACCCCAGGTCAGCGCTCTACTGCTTTCCGAGACCCGACCAGAACCCCAAGAGAGAGCAAGTGCCCTTCCCCTAAGCTCTTTATCCCCTGCATCTTCTACTACATGTGGCCACACCCAGGTGGGTGTGATCAGCGCTATAGGAACCTAAAATCTCTCCCTACATTTATGGGTGGTAGTGTGGTGTCCAGCATCGGCCAGGGTGGCCAATGGAGGACGTCTGAGAAGGAGACACTTGAGTTGGAACTTAAGTGGGGAGGAGGAGCTTTACGTACAGAGAGGGCCGGGCGGGAGGAGCAAGTCCAGAAGTTGTGGAGCCGTCTTGTGTTAGAACAGTGTGTGTTTGGAGACAGGAGT